ATGGAATTGAAGGCCTGGGCATGCTGTGCAAGCACTCTACCGCTGAGCCATTCCCACAGCCGTGGGGTCGGTTTTCATCCCCGTCTTATTATAGTCAATGACTAGAATAATAAAAAAAATAAATTTTCCTGTAAAGACAGAGCCTTCTGAGAACCCCAGGAGTGTGGGGTGGGCACCAGGGGAGCCATGGAAAGCAGTGTCTAGGCCTCTCCTTGCTTGGAATTCCTTCCTGTGCTGTTGGTTTGGACCGTGATGCAGTTGTAACTTGTTTTTATTGATCATCATTTATTACCCCAAAGGACCCAGGACTCAAAAGAATACTGATGTTGTATACAACAGGTAGTGTGGAACACAAGCATTAATTATGCTCCTTTTTGGGTTATATTTTAATTTTTATTGGTACGTGTTTGCGGTACATAATGATGACATTCTTCTTGGGCAGCGGGTATGTATATATAACTCATCTTAATTTTTAAAAATTCCCTCTCCTTCCCTCTCTCCAAGAATTGGGTTTCTATGTCTGAAGGTTATAATCGACCAACTTCTTCCTTAGAAAATTAAGTGGTTCTACTTCTACCTTAGAGTCCAATGTTAAAGAGAAAATAGCACACATAAATGGATGAGCTAAGTTTTATGCACTAACACTACACTTGGACTTATCATTTAGTCAAGTGGTAAAAGCCAAATGAAAGATAAAGTTGTTAAGCTAGATGATATTTGTGTGCAAGATGTGAGAATCCTGTACCCCTTGTATCCTTGAAGCAGTGACATCAGGATGATCTGAAGCACCTGAAGTAAAACAGCTAATGAATTAGATGAAATTATAGAAAATATCGGCCCTTTAAACTTAAATTTCACTATCTGTAAGTTTTCTTGTATGATGTGTGGGGAAATATTTAATAATATATGGATATCAGCATAATATTTTGCTGAATACATGGTATGTATTACCACATTGGGTTTATCATTTTTAGTAGACAAAAATAACTAAAATTTTATATTTTCTATGTGACAGGCACCAGCGTAAGCATTTTTAATTAATTAATTTTATTGGTACATTTAAGCTATACAATGTAAGGACAATCATCATTGGAAATTTGCACTTTTACGTAATCCATCTTGGTTCTTATTTTTTCTTCATTTCCCTGCCTTCCCTCCACCCCTCCACCCCTCCCTATCTACAGAGTTTGTTTCCATTTTTTCTTTTTCTCATGTTAACTCCATTCCATCTTTCTTTTCCTCTACCCTTCCCACTTCCCCTATAACTTTAGCCCTTTTCTTCCTATTTCACATTGTCTATTATAACTTTTAGTCCTTATTTACTTTCTCTTTTCCTCTACCCTTCCCACTTCCCCTATAACTTTAGCCCTTTTCTTCCTATTTCACATTGTCTATTATAACTTTTAGTCCTTATTTATACTTTCAGTTTCTCACACCAGAGAAACTATTTGGTATTTATACATGTGTCCTATTTATTTCACTTAAGAGTATGGCCTTAATGTGCATCCACTTAGCTATAAATGTCTCTAGTTTTTCTTTCTTTATGGCTGAGTAGTACTCCACTTTATTTAAAAAAACACATTTTCTTTTGGGGGGGTTGGTGCCGGAGATTGAACTCAGCACCCTGCGCTTGCGAGGCAGGAGGCGGAACCAAGGAGTCAAATCCCCGGCCCCAAATATCAGAGTTACCTGAAATTCCAACCATGAAGGACAGCTGGTGAAGATTCAAATGTCTCCCTTCTTTTTTTTTTACCAGAGATCGAACTCAGTCCTTGAGCTTGTGAAGTAGGTGGCAAAACTACTGAGTTAAATCTCCGGCCCCACATTTTCTTTATCCAGTAAGCATTTCACACATTATGAATTCATTTCATGGTCAACAACCCTATTAGACACATATACTAGTATTATCTCACTTACAGAGGAGGAAACTGAGGCACAGAAAGTTTAAGCAACCAGTCCAGAGTCACACAGTAATTAGTGGAGCTGAGGTTCTAACTCGGACCATCTGTCTCCATTGTCTATGTTCTAATTAAGTATTTATTGAGCACTTACAGTTTGGCTGTGACTGTACGAGGTGCTGGGGCTGTACGGTGAACCACAGAAACAGTTTTTGCTCTATGAAACTTATATTCCAATTGGTAGAGATAGATGCTTAAAAACAAGTAGCTATAATATGTTAGGTGATAAGAAGTAGTAGGAAGGAAATTATAGCAGGATAAGTGGTGGGTATTCCTCTTATGGTCAAATAAAGGGAGAAAAGGGAGGGAGGCCTATTTCAGTAGGGTAAGAAGGTGATGCCACAAGGCTCTCCCAGTGGGTGTTCGAGGCTGAGGGAAGAGCAGGGGCAAAGTCTCTGAGCAGGAACTGTTGTTTTGTTAGACCATTGAGGAGGATTTTTTATTTTTGATTAATTTGAGAGAGGGAGAGTACAGTTGAAAGTAACACCAAAAGATAGCTGGGGTAAGGTCGTGCTGGATGGATTTGGAGGAATATATGGATTTGGGATTTGATTCTGAGTGAGGCGAGAAGCCAGCAGCAGCAGGGTGTGAGTTTAGAAGTGACACAACCTATCTTTTGTTTTAAAACAAACAACAAAGGATCACTGTAGGAAGATGTGTGGAAACCCTGTTCGTAAGCTATTGAAAGGATTCGATGACAGATGATGCTGGCTTAGCCTAGGGCAGAAGGGATGTGGAGGTAAAATGTGTTGACTCAGGAGGTATCCTGAAGATGAAGTGGAAGACTTTATTCATGGATTTGATGTATGAGAGAGGTCAACAAGGGTGCCAGGGCACTCTCAGCCTAAGCGATGGAAGAAATGACTTGCTTCTTAGAAGGAGAAGCAGGAAAATTTATAATGTCCCACAGGCCGTGTCAATTAACTGTTTCAAGAAGGATATGTGTCAAAATCATATTAATCCGAGGAAGATTTGTTCTTTGCACAGACTAACTAGGCGGCATCTCTCTAGCAAACTAGACTGGTGGTCTCTGCAGATGAATTGGTTTGTGGTGGTTGGATATGCTTGTCTTCCGGTATTTAGGAAAGAAACTGGCCCTAGTGTCGCTAGCAGAATGGAACCGACCTGGCAGTTCCCTGCCCACATTTGTGGAACCAAAGCACCACGTCTTCTCCCCACTTCAGGCAACAGAAGCAGGAGCTGTTGGAAACCACACCTTGATCCTACTGCAGTCAGATTCAGGAAGGGACGAGCCTTGGTGACTCTTAGGCTGGGAGGGCTGGAGCACTGCAGGCAGAATAAGGGGCAGACGTAGGTCTGGTTGGCCTACGCAAGTTGTTGGCTCTGGATTGTCACTTGAAACTTCAGTCAAAATAACTTAATTCTCCTTTAAAATTTACTTTCTATGTAGCATAAAGATGGGGGAGGCAGAATCTGGACTGTGGGGAGGACGTGTGAACACTCAGAGGGGAGCACCCATCAGGACTGAGGTACCCAGCCTGACAAAAATGCCATCTCCGTCGCCAAGCCTCTACCTCAGGAGGAAGGGAGCCAGACACTGTCACGGCTGTGTTCACCGGGAGGCACACACACTATACTTCCCAGAGCAGGGATGGATAAACTCATGTAACACAGCTCCAAGTGGCCAGTGAGGAGGGGAACACAGGTTCATGTCTGACTTCATGTTAATAAACTACCACTCCCACCACCTTTATATTTTTCAAGTAAAAACATTGAAATTACTTCAAAAATTTAAATGTTAATAAAAGGGAAAAAATATCCCACAATAAACAATAATCCTTTGGGTTGAATATTTTATGAAAAAATTACAAGCTGGGTGTGGTGCTGCATGCTTGTAATCCCAGCACTCTGGGAGGCTGAGGCAGGATGGTGAGTTCAAGGCCAATCTGCCCATTTGAGCTACATGGTGAGATCCTGTCTCCAAACAAGATAAAAAGGGCAGAAGATGTTGCTCAGTAAGGGCCTGAGTTCAATCCCTAGTATCGCAAAACAAAACAAAACAAAACCAAAGTCACTAAATTGTTCTTATGCTTCTGTTTTCCACAAGAATTACTGCTGGACAGAACTCCAGGCCAGTTGTCGGGAGTCATAGGGGAAACTGTGGGAGGAGGCTGGGAAGACAAGGCGGGCTGCAGGCAGTAAAGCTGGCACGGGAGGGGACTGCGGACACCCTTAGGAGGCCTGGAGGCTTGCTCCTCCCCTCTGTGTGGTAAAAAGGAGCCAAAGCATGAAGCTGGGCCTAAACCTACTGTACTGGCGCTGGTTCAAGAGCAGAGCGCCCGGCTACGGAGGCGCTGGCTCTTCCCCAGGTCCGGCTCCTCCGTCGGCTGTCACCTCCAGAGGGACAACAGTGGCGCACTAGCGCCCCAGGCCGGAGCTCCGCCACCGCCGTGCGTGCCCAGCCTGCGGATGCGGGCGGCATCCACACAAACACACAGAGCAAACCCCACAGGCCCTGGGAGACAGCGGGATAAAGTGGGAGGCCAGGTGCGCCCCGGTGCAAGTGCGACCTGCCTCCGCGGCTCCACGCTTTCCCCCACTCCGTGAGTTTTCTGTGCAAAAACAAAGAAAAGGAAGGAAAGAAAAAGTAAGGAGCCCTGATCGCACTGCGCAGAGCTACAAACAGGCCTCGCCCGGTCCTCGGAATAACCCCACCCCGACCCCGCAGGGTCGCCTGCTCCTTCCACGGGCTTCCACTCCCAGGCCCCCTCCAAGGCCGAGAGAAGGCGCTCACTCGGCCGACCACTGCCGTCTCGCCTAACAGCGAAGGAGCGTGAGCCATTAGCACCGTTTCCCTAATCGAGGAAAAGGGCAGTCGACAGGTGAAAAAGGAAACACGCCAAGGTCCTACTCTCCTAGGGCGGCCTTCCATTGGCGCCTCTTTCTCCGCCGTGGAACCTGATTGGCTGAAGACTGAGAGCACGGGCTGAGCACGTTCTCCTGCGTCACTTGACGTTGGGCGGGCTGCGGCTTCGTAGCCAATAGGAGGGCCGGCGGGGGCGGGGCCAGTGGGTGCAGGTCTACCCAGTAGCGGGCCAGTTGGTAAACAGAGCCGAGCGCGTGCGGGGGGCCAGTAAGGTGGCGAGCGCGCGGAGGCCGCGCGAAGGTGACCGAGACTCCCAGCTACCCGCGGCCTGGTAAGCCTGCCACCCGCTGGCTTACTGTGTGCGCAGGCGCCGTTCGGCTGTGGCTGTAGCTCGCCTCCGCGCTCGCAGGGTCCCTCTGGAAGCCTTACATGACAGCACGGCTTTGCGCAGCGAGTTTCTCCCAGCTCCCCGCGGCCTGGTAAGCCTGCCACCCGCTGGCTTACTGTGTGCGCAGGCGCCGTTCGGCTGTGGCTGTAGCTCGCCTCCGCGCTCGCAGGGTCCCTCTGGAAGCCTTACATGACAGCACGGCTTTGCGCAGCGAGTTTCTCTTGCCGCGTGGGCCCGCCTGGGGAGGGGACAAGGGCCGGCAGCCCCGGCACCCGTGCCACTTGGTCGCCAGTGCAGCGTCCCTGCCTCGTGCTTTGGTGACAGTGGATCCCTTCGTTCCTAGATGGCTCTGCAGTGTGTGGCTGGGGGTTCGACTGCCTTGGGCTGCAGCCTTGTGTCGGACTGTGACTTCCTTGGCCCGAGCCAGCTGTTGGGTTTCACAGGTGGAACTATGGGGTGAACTTGGGAAGAGAATCCTTCTGGGTCCTTCCCTCCCGTCGCCTCTACTTGCTCCTTCCTCCTTTTCTAGACACTGGCGGTCTTGTGAGTGGTTTGGGCCAAATCCCCTGAACTGGAGCTTGTCGCCAGCACATTCTCAGTGCACAATCCTCTCTGCCGACCCAGGGAAGTCGTCCCACTGTAGGGCACAGGGAATGCTGCAGGGGCGGGTCTGGTGCTGGTACCCTCCGTGTGGGTGAGAGAGTCCCCGTACTAAAGGGTGAGAGACTTGTGTGCATTTGGGCTTGCAGCCCATTGGAAAATTTGTCCACACTCATTTGGGCCTTAGGTCTGCATGACAAAACTCATGCCAAGCTTAACACCGTGCCAAAGGCTTTGAACATGCGTAGACGCTAGCCCACCAGTTGTCGTGCCGAGGATGGATGGGTCATCTTGGTGGGGCGGCTGTTGGGAGACTTTCTTTTGGAGGAAGGCACAAGAGACAGAGGAGGTGGAGGCTGGTGGTTCACAGAAGCAGCAGCCTTAAGATTTAAGCAACAGTTTTAGGTGTTAATGTTTGAGTAGTGCATACGAAGTAGAACTGTTACAGTTTTTGGCCTGATAGCAGGGGACTCAAAAGAAAAGTGAACTAGGCTGTCTGAGCACTTCCCCCAGAGCCAGTGCAAGCGAAAGACAAGGTTTCACAACCTCCAGACTATTGACGTTTTGGGTCCGTAATTCTCCGTTGTGGGGGGCGGGGCTGTCCTATGCACTGTAGGATATGGAATCCTCCACTTGGCAGATACTCTGACCCACCAGTTATGGTCATCAGAATTGTCTCCAGACATTGCTAAATGTCCCTTTGAGTGCAGAATTGCCCGTGCTTTAGAACACCAGGTAAGACTTTAAAAAGGATCATTTCATGCTGCCAGGGTCCTCTCTGAGATCTGCAGGTTTGAGGAGACGCCAGTGTGTTGTGTGCATTGGTAGAAGCCATGTAGAAAGGGCTTTAAAGGAGACCCTACCTGCGAACCGGGTAGCAGAGGTGAGACCTGTCAAGAGAGAGTTAGGAGTAGGGACCCATCAGCATTTACTGTGCTTACCAGATGTGGGGCAGTGATAGGCTGGGCCAGGAGTGCTGAGGAAGGGGAGACCGGTAGTTTCCATCCCTGGGGATATTGCAAGACGGTGGGGGTGTGCACTTGAAATAACTTCATGAACCAGTTTTTTAATAGTGAGTGAACAAATAAAAGCAACTTGATACTCAGTTATCCACACGTGACTTCCAAGGTGGTGCTTTACTGATCCTCATGTTTTGCTCAGACATTTCTGTCTTGTGATGTAGGAGAGGTCAGAACTGTGTCTGCGGGAAGTTAATGGCTGTGTTTCAAATGGACATAGGATATATATGAGTAGAGCATGGGAACAGATATAATTTGTAGAGTTCTTTTACACTTGATTAAAGCTTAGTGTCAAAGACAGCGAGCCATTTCTTTTTGTTAACAGAAATATGCGTTTCGCTCTGTTTTGTCTTCAGTGTAACCCAGAATTTATACCCTGAACTTTTAGGTCCCCAACTGATGGGCACGGAGAAAAACTGGAAAACTGTGCTTATTGTACGCGGAAAAACGTCCCAAACCCCAACTGTGATTTTCTGTTTCTTACTTTTAATTGATCCTTTGGGTATGTATCGGAATTTTCCGTAACACTCTTTGGTCAACTAGGAGCTTTTGGGTCCCCTTTGTTGCTGACAGAAAAGGATCAGGAATGGAGGTCATTTCTCTTTTTCTCAAAGAGAAGTTTAGAGAAGTCTATTATTGGGAAGCTCAGAACTTGGCAGGATAATTTTCCATCAAGAGCCATGGACACTGAGTCATTATCTTTGTCAGTTGAAACAAGAGCTGTGTGCAAAATTAGACAGCACATTTAGATAGAGCATTTTCTTGAGTTGACAACTGGAAATAGTCCTAGCATTCCTGTTAAACAATGGTCAAGAACTGGGGAGGGCCAGTGGAAAGCAGAGAGGAGGGAGTGGGGAGCTCAGGTGTCCTATTTCTTCTGGAATTGCACATGCGGGAAGGGTGGGGGCCAAGGGGGCAGCTTGTGAGAAGTGAGGGTGTCTTGAGTCCCAGGTGAATGGGGACAGAGCGGGAGGCTGACTTGGGGCACAGACTCATGTATGTATAGGGAGACAGGGCTGAGATTTCTAGTTGGAGAAAGCTGGATGATGGTGGCATTAAAGGAAAGAGGGTATGGGGGAAGGAGGAGCTGGTTTGGGGAGAAGAGGTGATGTTAGTGTTAGACATGAGTATTAGACATGAGACATTAATATTTTTTCCATTCTTTTAAAATCAGATAATTTCCATGTCAATTTATCCTTTTTAGTGTGCAGTTCTGCAGAGTTGGACAGATGCATATAGTCACGTAACCACTACTACCACCAAGGTGCAGAACAGTTGCATCACCCCTCAGTGTTCCTTATGTGTCCTGTAGTTGCCTGCGGGCCTTTCATGCGGCCTTGTGCTACAGGTGTGTGTCACTTGGTTCTTGAAATGGTTTAAGTGGGTGAGAGGACCTGCCTGGCCTGGGAATGGGGAGGCAGCGGCTGGAGCAGCCCAGGAGACAGTGCACTTCGCAGGGAGGCCAGAGGGCTGGGTGTGCCTGGATGCAGGTAGGAGTAGTGGGGCTGGTGAAGCAAGATGTGAGGCAAGCTAGGGAAGAGGGAGAGCTCTGGGAGGGGTAGGGCTAGCGGGAAACCTTGTGGAGGGTGGCGGAGGAGTTAGGCTGAGGACTCCCACTGGCTTGAGCTCTCAGATGTCACACAGGGTGGCTCAGGGAACAGGAGAGACTAGTGCACCATTTTTAGGAGTCATTGACCATGAAGGAGAAGCAGAGTCAATAGGAGGTTCTATTTGGTGCCAGAGAGCTGGAAGTGCATTTGTGGATGTGAGGGGGAACGGCCTTTGTGGAAAGATAGATAAAAGCAGAGAAAAAGTAGGAGAGACAGTTCCTCTTGGGCAGGGTTAGGGTGAGGGGCTGGAGAGGGTCTGAGGTATGGGGCCACACATCTGAGTGCTCACCTCTGATTGGTTCTATTTTGGGGGTAAGTAAAGAGAAGGCTACAGAGGGAGTGTGGTGAGCGACAGGGTAAGGGGATGGTGATTGAAGAGAAAGCCTGGCCAGGATTCTGTCTTTAGTGCCCTCTGGGTCCTACTCCAGCCATCCTTGGGAATTGGTTGTTTCCTGCAGGTGTGTGTGTGTGTGTGTGTGTGTGTGTGTGTACATGTGTGTGTAGAATGGTGACAAGGACATGTTTCCCCACTTCCTACCTCTGCATCACCCACTTGATTTTCCTAGAGACATGTTTCTTGAGTGAGGCTGTAGGATTTCCATCTTTCTACTTTTGTGAAGACAGTGTCCTGCTACCTACCTACCTGCCTTCCTTCCTTCCTTTTTTTCACCTCTGATTGGTTCTATTTTGGGGGTAAGTAAAGAGAAGGCTACAGAGGGAGTGTGGTGAGCGACAGGGTAAGGGGATGGTGATTGAAGAGAAAGCCTGGCCAGGATTCTGTCTTTAGTGCCCTCTGGGTCCTACTCCAGCCATCCTTGGGAATTGGTTGTTTCCTGCAGGTGTGTGTGTGTGTGTGTGTGTGTGTGTGTGTACATGTGTGTGTAGAATGGTGACAAGGACATGTTTCCCCACTTCCTACCTCTGCATCACCCACTTGATTTTCCTAGAGACATGTTTCTTGAGTGAGGCTGTAGGATTTCCATCTTTCTACTTTTGTGAAGACAGTGTCCTGCTACCTACCTACCTGCCTTCCTTCCTTCCTTTTTTTATGGCACTGGGTATTGAACCCAGGGCCTTTCCACTGATCTACATCCCCCACCTTTTTTTTTTCACTTTTTTATTTTGAGACAAGCTCCCACTAAGTTGCTCAGGATGGGTTAGAACTTGTGATCCTCCTGCCTCAGCCTCCAAGGGTGCTGGATTAAAGGTATATGCTACCATGTCTGGGTTTCCCCTTCTCCTTTCCTGTCTAGAAGGAGCTGTACCTAATTTGAGCATAGTTCTTTCTAGACCCCATTACATTTCAGTTTTCAGAAATAGCTCTCTGTGTCTCCTTGTCACCTTTTGTGTGTCAGGGGCAAATCCTGCAGTCCTAACCTCTGGCAGTAAGAGATGGCTAGGTCAGCTGCCTCATCTTACACACGAGGACCTGGCACCCACAGGCCTGAGGGAAGAGCTGGTATACTGGAGGTCAGAGATCCCTGGGGACCAAGCTGGGCCTGGAATCCGGCCCTCACTGGTGGTCTCCCCTTCCAGCCCTCACTGTGGTATCCAGGAATTAGAAACCTGGTAGCAGCTCTGCTGTCTGCTGGGCTGGATGAGGGGACCCTGGGGACTTTTCCCCAGGAAAAGAGATGTTACGTGAGTGCCTAGAACTAGGGTCACCTCCAGGGTGTGTCCTCTGCCTCAAGCGTACTCTGTTTGGCATTGACCC